ATTATTATTTAATTAATATGGGGCCGGCTGTGATTTGCCTTCCAATGATAGACTGCGGCGCCATATGGCTGGCCAGGGGACTAAAACATTATGCCGCATTGGCAAACCCACGTACAACAGTTTCGAGCATTAATTGCACAGCATTTCAATGGCAGTGTTCAGATCTCCATGCTGGATGGTGTTTTGCCAGTGCTGAGTGCTTAGATTAATATATTGCATTGAGATCCATTGCTTAGCGATGAAGACAAAATGTATTTCCTAAACTTAAGCTTGAAGGAACAGGAAATTGGACAATTTTAAATGTAAGACTCTTTTAGGAACTATGCTGCTACATGGCAATACACTATTACAAGCTATCGAAATTAACACTTCGAAATGACATATCGACCAAGATATCGTTCGTAATATCTAAAATATCGTATTGCTACAAATATCGAAACTTTAAATATCGCCAAATGTGGCTCCTATTGACTTGATATCGGTTTTATCGAAGACATTTCTACATTTATATGTATTAAGACGGGAATACCAAAGTTACAACAAAAAGACTCTTCAGGAATAAATTTGTTTGAAAAATCGCCCAAAAAACCCAAAAAACACATTAAAAACTTGTTTTTTGTGTTAATACCTTGGGTAATAATGGTGAAATGTTCGAATGTCATACACCGTTGAACTCGTAATAAAATTTCCAATCGAGTGGCATTCACAGTTAAAATTTTTTCAGATTTTCGAATTTCTGCAAAAAATGATGATGTAGCCCTTACAAAAAAGTCAGAAATATGAGTATAGATATATCAAAAGACGATCACATTACAAAACTGTTGATATTAATATTGATTGCTGCCTGAGTTTTTGAAACGAAACGGATATAGCGATATATTGTGTAGCTGGTCATCGTTCTTTTCGAAAATAGCAGGATATCTTAAGGGGTCTCTTCAGGTAAGTTAGCCGCCCTTGGAGGGGCGTGGGAGGAAACAGAAGTGGGGGGAGGGGATGCAGGTGGAAAAGCAATGGCCGGCAATAACTCAATGACTAAATCAATTGACGCTCTCGACCACTCTGGCAGGGCGTCGAAAGTGGAGCTTATACACCGTCATGGCCGGCACCAGTACCTATCCCACCGCCTCCGAAAAGTTTCTTGGCCAGCTGGCGTTGTTCTTGCCAATCCTCGAGTACTGCAGCATCCCTTGTGCCACTCGACAGCTTCAAAACAAAAAGTCAAATTGAATTACTTTTGCAACATGGCAGCCACTCATTGTTGTTCGGAAGCAGTTGTTGTTGCCGCTGCCATTATCCTTGTAGTGTTTCCGTACAACAGTGGCAACAGCACCTGGCCAGCGGCATGGGCGGTGGAACAGAAGTTTGCAACCTGCCAACCTCCGTTCAGCCACCACCAACCACCCACGACCACGTCCTCCTCCGATTTCACCTTCGCCGGTCCATTCGAGTGAAAGGCTATTGAAAGAAGAGTCCTTGGAAGCCGGGTGGGCACTCCTCCTCGAGGACGGTGGATTGGCCAGCACTTGGCCAGCTATCTCCAGGAGGCTACCAGGCTGCCAGGCTGCACTGCGTCGGCACTGCGTCGGCATCCGAGCATCAATGTGGAGACACCGACAAAAAAATTCCATCACAATTGACTTGCTCCCCCAATAAACTTTTCAATTTGTCCATGCTACTTGCTTATGTTATTATCCCTGCAGATGGTATTATGATATGGTTAATTGCTTATTTGTATGCCATAGAAAACTAATTCAAACATTTAATGTTGTAGGTGCCACAAATTAGTCAAAAAGGCGTGTAAAAGTATACATTTCAAATCTTAAAATCCAGTTTAAATAGACATTTCAATTGAAACCTATTTTCAAAGGACAAAAGTCAAGTATACATGTATCGTTTCCGGATAAATCGAATAAATCACATCAGAAATTCAAATCACATAAAAAAAAGAATGTTAAAATGGAAACCAAATAAAATATATTTCACGAACCACACAAATAGCTAATACCAATCGAAAATTGTTCGCAGTGCAGGCCATGAAGAAGGAAACTTGGTGTGCCTTGTAAGCAGAAGTGTGCGAACTTCCGAGATGCAACGGAATATGTGGCCGGGGGCAGGGTCGTCGAAAAGTTGCAAAGGTGGGCGGGACGGGGCTTTTAAACGCCGTCGCACAATGGCTAGCGGACGATGCAAACATTTCGCTGCATAAGTTGCCGAGCAGCTGCCCCTCAGTTATACATTCCCACCGTCCTATTCACTTTATGTATATAAGGTATAGTATCCTCTGTCTCGCCTCCAACTTTTGCCAGGCGTCCAGAGTCTTTGTCTGCCCTCATACAATGCAAGTTAATTCAGAACCGGCTTGGGTAACAGCTGCTCCCACCACGCCCCCTTCCGCCCATGCCGCTCCCTTTTGTGGCAGCGCCGTCAACAACTTGTTGGCGTTGTTTCCTGTCAATCAGCACCAAGCCACCCAGCCACCCAGTCCCCCAGCCCATGGCACTCCCACCATTCAGCCTGCATTGTTTGTGGCAGGAACAGAGGGGGAAAAAAATGAAAAAAAATTAAAGACAAGGAAAACATAATCTAAATTTTGTAATTGTCCCAGGAAGGACCGAAGGACCTCGTTGCCCCGAGCGGAGCTTTGCAAAGGACGGGCTGGATGAGTTCAGTTGGATTTGTTGGCAGTCAGTCATTTTCATTTCGTTCATTCGCTCATTCGCTCATCTCTGACTTCGGCTGTCCTGTCCTGTCCTGTCCTGTCCTGTTCCAGGCAGTCATCTCTCCCCACATGACCCGTCGTGTTATCCCCTCTAATACAATATCTTCCACTCAATTTGATGATGTCCATCCAATCCAATTTTCCTGCCGCTCCCTCCCCTTTAATTCCCGCTGGATGCCTCCTCGAAGCACTAAGTCCCCAGTCCCGACCTGCCTCCAGGTTCATTCGAGTAGCTTTCAATCCGATTTGAACTCTTTCCAAGCATTACTTCTCTTCCAGCATTCACCTTAATCATGTAATTTTCTCTTTTGTACAGGAGAATTAGAGTTTCTTTGCCAGCTTGTGTCATATCAATTGTTATTGCTGCTTCACTCAGTTGAGTCTTAGATCAAAGACTTCAACTTTGAGGTCAATTCTCGTCGGTCAACTTGAGCAGAATATGCAGCCATGTTTGCAATATTGTATTTCGATTGAAAGGGACAGCTTAAGTGCTGGTTACTCAATTGATCTGGGCTATGTTTGGTTTTGGTTTTTAATAAACTGACAACAGTTTGTTGCTAATAATTGTGTAGATTTTTTATTTAACGTTTATTTTCTCTTGTAGCTCAAATCAAATAACCAAAAAGCTGGGCTAGAGAAAACAAAATGATCTAGTTAATGTAAATTAGGAATGAACTTAAATAAAGTTTAGTGCTTTAGTACTTAAATACTACTACTGCTACAGAGGGCAAAGTTTGAATCAGGCTTGTTTTGTCCAAATTGAACCATGTTTCGTTTGAAATGTTGCTCTTTCCCCAAGCCAAGTGATTATCCGAGTTGATTGGACTTTCTGTTCGATCGAAAGGACGTCGCAGCGCTGAAAGTTCGTTGTTTTTTTTCGATTCGTTTCGGAATGCAGGAAACTGACTGGCTGGGAAAATTGGGTCAGGGCATGGACCAAGCGGCGGCAACTGGGTCAGCGAAATAAATAATGAAAATCGTTGCCAACGGCAGGGCAAACAAAACGGCGGCAACAACTCAGCTCAACTCAACTCAACTCAACTCGAGTTGCAACACGCGCGCTAAGCGGCTGCATTAAAAGGCCACTCGCAAACACGGCCAGGCGCCAAAAAGGGGGTGGCAAATATGAAAACAATGCATCAGGGTTGGGATAAAGCCACCGCCTCACAACCCCACAGTCCCACATTTTCCCCATTTTTACTTTCTGTAGGCTCACAATATCGAAATGGTGAACAAAAAAAATGGAGAGCATTTTTGTTGTTGGCAGGCTAAAGCTGGCAACAAATGATGAAATGCTAGAAAGCATTAAACTGCAACAGAGTGAGGGTTGCAAAATGGGGGTTTCCATTGGCGGAGGGGGGTGGGGCACTCCTGAAGTGGGCGCTTGATTACACTGAAATGCACTCAAAAGTGGCGAACGAAGCGATGCCGCCAGCGAATGCAATCGAATGGGCAACGGCAACAACAGCTACACATATACAACACCCCTTGAATGTGCCAAGCCCCCCATACACACACACACACACACACACACACACACTCACACACACACACATATGCAGAGAGCCCAAAGGCTGCGCCAAAAAGTTCGACAAATTACATTTAAGTGACGCAAAAGTTAAGTGAAACTCATTGCGAAAATCGCGGATAGATGTGGAGCGCCCATAAAAGTGGGTGGTGGGTTAAGCTAGATGGGTGTTGGGTGGTGGGTGGTGGGTGGTGGGTGGTGCTAGGGCTAGCGGCGCCACACGACTAAGTGCTTTGGCTTGCCGAATGTAGGCACTTGAACTATTTCTGTGTTCTCGCCCACTTACATACGCGTCGGTTGTTGTTTATGGCTTGGGGATGCTTCTGAAGGCCCTGATTGCGGATTTGAAAAAGGGGGTAAAGGGGAGAAAAAACAGATATGAAAGACTTGGATACAGATACCACATACAAATGATCAACGAGTCTTTACCACGCTGACCAGGAAAAAAAACTATTAATTTTCCATTAAAATTAATACTTCGAACCATTTGGTATTCAGAACTTCCACTTAATAACAAATTTGTATTATTCCTGAGGATTTGACTTATTTAGAGACAGATTGCAGGAATACTTTACAATTTGGCTACAATTTTCAGATTATCTGCAGACAAAGACTTAAGTTTGATTTACATCAAAGCTGTAGCAAAATTGATAAACAAGCTTTTAAGCAGCCTACAATTTCTCCATATTTGAAAAGCTTTTAGGCAAGTCTTTACAGAGCGAGCTTAATATGTTAGATAAACATTCGCTGATATTAACTCTTTCATTACTCTGCACTTTATTTAAACTTTTGATAACGATGTGAGACAAGACTTGGTGGGGCCCCGCTTTTTACTCTTTGCCACCCCATGGGTGATGGCCTTGGTACCTAGCGAGGCTGGCTGGTCCTGAGCTCCCGCCGACGCTCGAACTGGTGGCTCCCAGATGACCTTGGCCGGATAGACGATCACCCGGTGCTGGCCAGCATGCATAATCACCTCAAAGTGGTGGTACCTGGCCAGCACCACGTGCGGCTGCTTTGCCTGGAGGAACTCCTGGACGGGAGTGAGCGGAATTCCCTGGCAGTTGATGTAGACGACGACGAGGTCCAGATATAGGGCCGCCTCGTAGACGGTGGCCATTTTGGCGCCCCAGACGGCACCACTTACGAACGGCACCCGCTCCCTGGCCAGGAGGCCGGGCAACTCGGAGGCGTGGCGGAAGGTGTGTAGCGTCACCATAGAGCAGGGTCTCGATCCGCCGAAGAAACTGTGGTCGAACTCGCACACGATCATGGGCGAGTCTTGGGTCATCTTGTACCGGAAGCGGATGTCGTCCGGCGTCAGCATGCCGACCACTTCCGCCTGCAGGCAGTCCACCATCTCGAGGGCCTGGCGGTAGTGGGCGTGGCCGGCCGCCTGGCGGTGCATGTGCTCCATGGAGCCGCGCACACGCCCAACGAAGCCCTCGCGCATCGTCTCGTGCACAAAGACACTGACCACCAGGCCAGGTGCAAAGGGCTGCTTTAGGGAGCGCAGAAGCGGCTGGATCGCCGTGTCCACGTCGGCCTTCTGGCAGATGACCAGCAGGGTGGGATCCTGCCAGGACACATCGCTGCCATCGCCGGGGAAGTCCGGGATTCGCCAAGTGTACGGAGTGTGCTTGGGCATCGCAACTTCCAGTTAAACACGAGAATCACTAAACGAGAACTACAGCCAGAAAAGATATCACTTTGAGATTTGGACAGTTTTTGATATATTCGGTCTGAATTTTCACTTGTTTTGCTTGTGCCGAGCGTTTTAAGTCATCGTGACCCGAGGCGTGTTCTTAATCCGACTAGAGTGCCACACAGGTGACAAATTGTCGGTAAACATTCCTAAAAATACATGGCACTGGCTTGGTTGGCTTATAAAATTACAATTTTCTCTGTTTATTTAGCCACTTGGGAACGACAACATTTTTTTTGTAAGCATTTGGTTTTTTAAATTTAATTTAGTCACCTATTTGCTTCACATAGTTTTTTTTCGGAATATTCAACTATCAAGTGTGATAAATTATATGAAAATAATAATGTCATAAATAAGCAAATTAACTAAATCAACATTTATAGTTTACAAAATGAGTATGTAATGAAACAAAATCGAAAAGGGACTTAAACTTATTGTAAGAAATTCACGCCAAACTACAATACATTAATTTCAAGTCAAAATAAAAATAACAGCTTAAAATGACTTAAGCAAACAAAGCCACTAATAGATAATAAATATAGGTAATCGCTTTAAATATAATATTTTCCATGTCTTATATAATACACATGTCCTGACCGAAATGTCTCATTGATAACTCAATCTTGGTGTTCCAACAAATTCAGTCAGGCGCACAGCTTACAGCATGTACATCTTTCTCGCTGTTCTGCACTCTACTCCTGGCTTGAATATTAGTTTCTCGGCTAGGAAATGAACGTTGACTGCTGTCCTGTTCCATCCATTGCCGGCATCTATCCATCACTGCCACTTGGCAAAGGAAATGGAGACATGGAGACATGGATATGGCGATGGCGATGGCGATGGAGACAGAAATGGAGACGAGACGAGGACGTCTTTTCTGGTTTCGCCTGGCTTCACTTGTGTTTTAGCCTCATTTGCCACATGGTTTCCTTTTCCCCTCCGCCGAGAGTGGTATATCCATTTCCCAGTGGGTTATTGCGGCTCGAGTGCCCCGTTCGCTCCTTCCGCCAGCAACACGTGGCCTTCCTGCACTAATGATGCATTCTCACTTGCAACATTGCCGTATTGCTGTATTGCTGTATTGCAACATCTGCACAGGCCGCAACAACGGCAGACTCTTGTGTGTTATCCTGCGCCCCAGTTAACTTGAGTAAAATGCAATCCCCCAGCTCTTAGCTGTAGGCTCCCAGCTCCCAGTTTCCAGATCCCAGCATTCAGCACTCGTGGGAGCAGCCAACCAACCAGGCCACCAAGCCATCCAGGCATTCAACCACATCCCATATGCCATATACCATCTGCATCTAGCTGCCTTTCCCATCTGAATCTATGTCTTTGTCTCCACGCAGTTAAATCCAGCGCAAATTGTAAAGTGTCCTCAGTTTTTGGGGCATTTTGCATTTTGTGATTTTCAAAACATGGTTGAATTCCAAATGCTTAGATTAAATGCATTGACATCGTGTTAAGCGATCTAAGGGTTTCATTGTTTAGTCCACCTAAAGGAATGTTGTACCTGTTTGAGTGTTCTTAACCAAATTTTGAACAACTCTAACAGTTAAATAAAATGGAAAATATGGAAAAATCATTAATAACTGTCTTAAAGTATGCAACCATATGTTTAAAGTAGGAAAGTACGATGGATTTATAATGAAGTACCAAGAACTGTTTTTCACAGCATACTTTTAGACACATCTATAAATGATTTTAGAACTGTATACTTTCCTTTTTTATTTTTCACTTCCTTGGAGAACAGCACTTTTTGCTGCAATGTTGTGTTGAGAGGCGCTCGATAAACACGTTGCGCAAAGAAATCGTTGCATAAATTAAGGCTTAATATCCTGACCTCATCGATGCCTGTGCCAACGTCGATATCGGGCCACTACAAAGTACAAAAAGTGACCGAGAAAAAGCACCGCCCATTCAGACTAAATTTAAGTTCACACCCAAGTTGAACTGTTCGAAAGAGAAAAAAAGGACCGAATCTGGATCCAAATCGAAAATCGAGAATAGTTCAATTTTTCAACTCCGACAAATGAATATTTAAGGCCACAAAAGTGGGAGGAAGGCAGTGGTCAGTGCCAAGTGAAAAGTCCAAAGATTTACGAGCAGTTCTCCTTTTTTCCTTCTTTTTCACCAAAGCCAGACAACCTTGGCAAATTGACTTTTGCCTTTAGCCTGGATTTTACTGCGCAAATTTCTACAAAGCAAAAAATGAGCACAAGCCATTTATTCTCACTGAATTAAGGAAAAACCAAACTTGGAATACCTTTGCATTGTCATATGTGCTAACTGAAACTATCTTTCCTAGCCCATATTAAATTAAAATACCTATAGTTGATTGATAGTTGATATACATTTTAAAAAATCGGGCCCTTAACTTAAAGACTAGTTTTTGTAGTTTTTATGAGCTTTAATATTTATATAATCTACTTCTTTAATACAAAATATTAGGATGAACAATTGCTATTAATTGGGATGACAATAAAATACATGCTTTCAATTTCCCAACTATTTTCTATAATAATTTGAGTGCTCTGTAGGCTGCTTAGTATGTTTGATGATCATAAGAAGACTTAAAATGGCTTATTGTTTTCGAAGCTTTTATTTCAATTGTTGCTACCGGCTTTAAATACTTTAGCTCTAAGCCAGTACGGCTCTTTTCAGAAATTTGAACTCAGGAAAATAAGAAAAAAAAGTTGAATTGGTTTCTCTGCCAACCAGGTGGCAGGACGGAATCAATAACCAATACAACACACCGCTGCCAAGGCCAAGTTGCCTCAGCCGTTGCCCTGCGAACAGTTGCCAAGCTCAAACTGGATTCCAATAAATTAACAACCTGCTGGCGATGAAAAAAAAAGAGAGAATAGTGCAGTGAAAGTGGGCAGAACTGAGATCTGCTGTCTGCCGCCGAAAGGCAAGGCCAAAAACCAAAACAGACAGAATTAAAATTTGTACTCGAGCCTTGCAGCTACCAAAGTTATCGGGGAAATGCTGGCAGGAGCAGACCAGAAAATTGAAAAACAAACAAGATAGAAAGCAATGTCGGCATGCGGGTGTTTGAATACCCTTGCAGCCATTAGACAAATTAAATATTAAATTAAATTTTACCTCACCTAGATACTTGACAAATTATGTGCCTTTTACCTCAACAAAGTACTTATTTTCTTAAATACCTTGTACCTTATATAGAATTTTTATTTGGAAGCTATATGTTATAGTCGTCCCATTCGGAAAGTTTCGACTTATATATTTTCTGAATCAGAACGAAGACTTTTGGGAAACTTGTATCTTTATAGTTTTAAAACTGATAGACCTGTTTCTGAATACTTTGCAAACTTTTCACTGAAATTTTTATACCTTGCAATGGCATAAAAATGATATAAAAGGTGCCACAACAAAATTATCAAAGATCTGCTTCCGGCGAAATGGCGGTGACAACAAGCCAGGCAGTGGTTGTCAATGGAGGGCAGGGGGTCGAGTGTCGCAGCCAATTTGCAGCACAGCAGCAGCCGCCAGGCAAAAAAGGCCACGGAAAAGATGACAGGGAAGGGCCAAGCAAATTGTTTATTGTTTCATAATTGAAGCCAGGAGAAGCCAAGACCGCACCTTATGCGTCCTCCTGTCCACGTTCACTATCCACTTTCTTGCCTCAATTTTCCTCCCACCAACTGCCCCTCTTCTTACTACCAAAGGCTGGAAAGAAGCCGGGAGAGCGCCGCATAGTTGGTTTCGAATTGCCCAGCTCACCAGCTTTTCCATCAACACTCCCTAGCCGATTGTAACGTTTTTGTCTGGCCCTTACAATTACTATTCCGACTAGATAATCCATATTCATCAACACCGTTTTGTAATTTGATCTGTCTTCCGATTATCTTCGAAACACTGCCTTTAATTCTTAAATGCACCTTGTCGCAAAGTCTTTTATATTGTATTATACTTTGAGTACAAAAGTCCTTGCGATCTATCCTGAAAAACGACGCTATTTTTTCATTGTATACTTTTAGACAACTTTTTTATTAATTTTCGAACTCTAGTAATTTTCTACAAAATGTATAGCTTAAAAGGTATATTTTCTTTTTTTCCAAGTACTAGTTGGGGCTTACATTTTCGCAGGTGAAACTGAATCGACACCCTCTGACTATCTGATATTGTCGCACCTCATTCCAACACTGGCATCTCCTGGCAGCTTTCTTAATTGCCTTAGCGCAAATAAATTCAAAACAAAAAGGGCCAAGGTGGATAAATGCGAAACAAAAGCATTTCATCAGGACCATTAAAAATGATTTCGGTTAACACTGCGTCTCAGCTGGCTCATCTCTGTTCGCTCTGTGCAACATATCTCCTGGCTGCCCATCAATTCCTGTCTAAGCAGCTGCTCAAATCCTGTATTCTGGACGAGAGAAAAAACAAAACAAAACTTCATTAAGCAATGTTCAACAATAACATTTGTTTTTATTCACACACACACACACGCAGACAAAGGGCCCGCAGATTTATAAGCATTTTACACCTGTGGCGCTTTTTTAGGCCTTCGAGCCTCTAACCTTCAAGCTCTAGTCCCCTTATGCATCAAATGGTTGAATGAATCTGCCGAGGAGGCTGGCAGCCACCCCAACTCAGAAACTTGGCATGTGTGTGCGTGCAAACAAGCTGAAAATTCATTAAACTGGAGCAATAAATTCTTTTAATTGTTTTCTTTGCCACCCCCAACGCACCGCACACCCATTTTATTAATTCATTCCAAGCTTTTTTTTTTTTGCGCTCCCCTTACTTTTTTCCATATTCCATTTTCCTTAACAACATTTCCGTTTGGCAACGGCAAACATTGTTTGCCCATCTCATTGCTCCACTCTCGCCCCCTGCTGGCTGGGCAATATTTTAATGTTTTACGTGATATGTTTGGCATGTCCTTGACGCGGTGGCAACAGTCTACACCTGACTCCCCCGGGCTGTCATTAATTCTTTTCAATTTACCCAAAAAATATAGGGCTCCCCCTGGAGCGAATCTGGAGTTGCCTCATTAGCAGGTACAGTCCCGGCCCGAAAACTTTGACAGTTGCATCATTAATACTTTTGGGGGAGGTTTGAGGGGGCTATAATGAACTGTCGAGCACTGAACTAATGGATTTCTTCTCCTCTGCGCTTATTTCTCACACAGGTGTCTCCGGCATCGACTTGTTTCATGTTGTAACTCGAGGACTTTCGGTAAGTTTGCCCATCTCGCACAAATGTATACCCAAAGATAAATAAAAAATGACAAGCACGCGTATGGAGAACTGGCATTCGATTCTGAGATCGGAAAGGTATTTGGTTTTCTATTTGAATTGTTGTGCTCCCCGACTCACCAATTTACGAGCCGCACAAACTTCGGCCAGAGGAAGGAACAACAACGGAAGGATAACGCCGAGATTGTCCTGCAACTGCAATTGCAAGTTTCGATTTAGTTTTGAGGTCAGATGGGGGGAACTAAGGGCTAAGGTTGTAGTTCGAGCTGAGCCACACAAATCTCTGTCTCCCCCTTTTCTGCTGAAGATAAGCGAAGCGAACAAAACTTATGCAGCTCCTTCTAAAGGGGAATTAAAGCCTCCATTCCGGAAAAGTCAGGTGGGAACTTAAGACCACTCGAAATAAAGAACAAGGAGGGTTTGAAATGGAAACCAACTGCGGTTTTTTGTATGTCTAATGGGGGGATCAGAATACTTTATATGCAATTTAAAAATTGAGTTGGTAGTATAGGTGAATTTGAAAGAATCCATGCTAAGGAAACTGTGCATTTTAACAATATATTTTAATAAATATAGTCCAGCGGATTAGACGGGTATTATTAGTGTGCAACAAATTATCTTTCTATTTCTTTTTGACTATTTCAAAGTATTTCTAAGTCTTATTGTCAAAATAGGTTATAATCCTTTAGTTAGGCATCCGAAACTATGTCGTGTCATTAACGAGGGAAAAAATTCAATAAAAGCTCTCCCCTTTTGATAATTTAAATTTATTTGTAGGTATTTTTGTCAAAAAAAAAACTGAAATCCATTAGTTGCGCATCAGAAACTATCACGTAGTGTTTACGAATCCCAAAGCCCAAGAAGTTCTTGCCAGTAAGTTCAGGGAAATTGAAGCATTGCTATCCCTTTTTGATTAAGGGTAAAGTGTCAAAAAAAAGAACTTCAATCCATTAGTTGCGCATCAGAAACTATTGAATTTTATTTGCTAAACCAACCCAAACCATTGAAACTCTTGCCATTAAAGACAGGTTTCACAGTGCACAGTTATCTCATTTACATTAGGTTGGACAGCACCTGACTTTGAACCCGTATTTGCCTGACCTTTCATCCATTCGTTATCATCCTGTCAAAGTCACAAGGAGCAGACTAATTAAATTGCATTCAGTGTCGTGTCACAGGTGCAACGAAATTAGCCAGAATGCCTTAATCAGTTGCCAAGGTCCGGGATACGAGGAATGACAGTCATTTCACATATGTTGGCCCGGTCGTCTTATGTTGCTGCAAAAAAGCAGAGCACCTGGCTGCACTGGGCTCAAGCACATGCCAATGTTTTAAACTTAATGTGCCCCTTTGACCCTGGCAATTGCCATTGCCCAGTGGCCGTACTGCACTTCCGGCTGTCGTCCTTGCGCCCTTGCGTCCTTGCAGCATTTGACATTGCGCAAAGCCAGAGGAGTGGACTGCTGTGCCAGGCATCTCCATCCTGCATCCCCTGACCCTTTTTTCACGACTCCATCTCCGGCTTCGTCCTGCTCGCTGCTCATTTCAGGAAATGCATTTCGTCAGCGTTAAATGAAAACGAAATTGCCAATTTCAATGAGGAAAAAGAGAACGGGTGACATGAGGACTGGCGGATCCTGGAGGGAGTTGCGAGTTGAGCCATCTTCGAAGTTTTGGCTCAATCAGTCTTTCACTGCTCTCTGATTTTTTGCCAAGATTCAGCGCCGACTAATGTGATTTGCACGAAGGCGAAACTAAGACTGCGAAACTGACGAAAGAAGGGAAAATGGCGAAAAAAAAGAAGTAGTGAGAAGGGATAACGAGATGGGATTGTGAGATAGACAGCGTGGAATACTACGGTCGAGAGGAGAACAGAAATCGATGGATTAAGGATAAACGCACTGGTGACCTATTTTCATTACTAAGGCCACACAAATCATTCCCACACTCAGAGAAAGAAGAATGTTTAATACAACATATTAAATTAACTGAAAATATAAACTGCACATTGTAAAATAGATTAGAGAGCCAAAGCCAAAACTTACAATTTAACCTTGCATCTTTTAGAATTTGTTCTTACCATTTTATTTTCCACTCCCCAAACAAACTAACAACGACATTAGGTTGAGCTTCCTCAAGAAACTTACTTAATTTAAAGGAAACTTAAGAACCCCACTCTTAACCATCCAATTTGAAAAGAATCCCTAAAAATAATAAGAGGGCCTGGCAGATTGGGGGAGGTCATTGCTGAGAAAAGTGAATTGCAGGGAAACCTTAGACCAGTTACGAGAGCAACTGCGTAAATCCAATAGAGCTCAAGCGAATGCAAGCCAAACAAAAAAAAGATCCGTTTGCTTTTACTTAACCGCCGAAGGCGTTTGGTTAGTTATCCCGCCAGTTTCTCCGACCATTTTGGCCTCGCTTTAACGGCCCCTTCCATTGGCAATTCAAACAAAAGCGGTGCAGAATTATGTCACTGGCAGCGTTGTTCAGCTAAGCCCTCCCCCTTATCTTTTTCACTTCCACTTCCTGCCCCGGCTTTGAATTTTCATCTTTCTTCGGGAGCTACACCCCGTTTATACTTACACTTAAGAAAACTTTCAATCTCCCCCATCCAAAATTCCCTATAACGCCCTGAAACACCCTGAAACCATTAAAACTCCCTTACACATCCCAAATATCGCCTGAAACTCCCTTAAACCCCCCTGACACTCTCTTGAAACGCCCCTGAAGTTCCCACCATTCGCGATGCGTACCTCGTTACCTATCAAAACCCCAAATTGAATACAAAAATCTCATCAAAAATCGATTAGAGCTGGTTGATGGGGGAAAATCCAAAGAGTAGAAGGACTAAAGTGGCAGCCAAGTATATTTTATATGGTAGCAAGCCGCGCAGCCAGAATCGTGTTAATAAACGAGCTTCATCGCTAGGATGTGACAGTCCAAGCGGCGAAGCCACTTGCACCTGTTCCTCGTTGCTTAAAAGCAGCAAGTGGATTGAATAAATAACATTGGCGAATGCAATTTGCGAAATTAAAACCGAAAGTAGTGAAAACTTTTCCCCCGTTTCCTCCCCCCCACCAACAGTCGCTTTATCAGTGACAGCAATCATTTCTGCGGCTTGCTAAACTTTCTCCTAACGACGACAAACGATGAAAGTGATGGTAATGATGATGATGATGATGATGGCGAGGTGTGGGAGTGGTCTTGTGGGCTGTGGATTCTAGGCTTATTGCGGTAAGTTCTGGAGCCACGTCGAATTGGAAAGCAAAGCGTTCATTTGTAAAATTAATAAAAATAGTTTCTCACTCGCCCTACAAACTCAACCCATCACTGTTGCTTATCCTGGGCAGCTTTGTCCCTTCCTGGGCCCTGATGAATATGGATGAAAGGGCTCGTAAGTTCCGGAAGCATTAAGTGACACCAAAGAGCGTCGGAATGGGTTCAAGGGATATACAACTTTTCTGAGGGCCGCAGCCAAGTTTACCTTAACTTTTGTTCCCACCCTTTGTGGTATACTTCAGGGGTCTTAATGCATAATTTAAATGTATATTATAGCGTGGCACTGTCCTAAATATATATATATATTTGTTAAATTACTTCAAATCCCTTTGCTTTTTCATTTCACTTCATTGTTTTTGCTTACTTGCGCAAATCCCAAAGCAATAGGTTTCAAATGGAATCAAATTATTAACATTGAAAGCAAATAATAGCACTGATTAAATAAATTTAATGGCTTTTTATACCCACTACTCTTCGAACAGTGGGGAATATCAATTTCCTGCAAAGGATGACTTTTCGGACTCTATAAAATACTTATAGCCTTGCATGACTGTTCGTCAGTTTTAATACCCTTTGCAAGCTCAGTTTAAGAACTAAAGACTTGAAATTTTTGCAATTGTATATTGAGGTTTTGCTCCCCAATTGTTTTTAAGCAAACCAAGTAGAAAGTCAGTGAGTTCCAGGTATTTAATATTCGAGGCACTTAACAACATTGTGCCTTCTTTTTTGTTGTTGTTTGTTCGATTTACCGGACTAAAACAATTTCATTTGTTTAATTGACTTTACTTTCCCTTCATTGTTAAACAAACAAATCGTTTCACTAACGCAATGCAAACTGGTGTGGCATCGACATATTTTTATTTACTTTTTGGTTTTAACAAGCCAATTCCCTTGAAAATACTTTTTGGCTTACAGCTGAATGCAAATTTGATCGCCAGCTTTTAAGCCCATCATTTTCATTAGACAAAAGCTTTTAACGCAGGTTAGGAAACAAGTTCGAACCTATACAATTATTGACAAACAATTAATATTTTTGATAAGCAACAGTAGTCGAATCGAAAGTCCGATGGACTGATCATTTTTCCGCAAACTAGTCAGTCAGTTGTAAAGCTACCACGATAAATTTCTTCTAAAAGAACCTTCAGAAATAAAATAACCGGTATAGGTTCATTGTTTTTGTAATATTTAATCGAGATATAGTAGTGTTTCACTGATTCAATAAAAATTTTACATTTTGTGGGAGTCTAAGAACCATTTCAAATAGCTGCCGTTGGCATAAGCTCGTCGGTTTTCGCATATAGCACATTTTACTGAAAGGGTGGATATAATTGAGCTTGCCGAAGCTGGCTACATTTCTGCTCTCTTCATATTAATACTGCCCATCAGTGTCTCTCCCAACAACATCCCTATCGAGCGTGTGACAATACCCCTTTGATTTCTTGAGATTAGATATCATCTTGGCCATGTTATTTGCTGGCCTGTCGGCCTGTTCAAACGCTCGCCCTCTTCAGTCACAAGTGTGGACACATCCCTACCTTTAAACCTTTTTTACCCCCTGCAACGATGCTGTGTTTTGTATGCTGAATGAAATAGCCCATCTAGAATTTAGCTATGTACACAAAAGGCGAAAGCAAATTGTGTTTTGTCAGTGACATGGAAATCAACTGAAGCGATGTGCGCGATTTACGAGCCGAGGAC